GTGTGTGTGTGTGTGTGTGTGTGTGTGTGTGTGTGTGTGTGTGTGTGTGTGTTAATTTATGTCAGTGCTTTGTTTGTGTTTAATTTCTTTCTTATCTCTCACTTATCCTAAGTATTGTCTTAGTAATCAAATATAAGTGACATAATTTTTTTAAACACAGAGAAATGAACAAAACACAAACTGAATAACTTGCAAAATCTAAATGAAGAAAAAATTCAAAAGAGGTAGAACGCCGCAGTAAAATATGAAAGTATGAAAGTAAATATAATAACTTTTGTTTTACGAAATAGCAATAAAATGTAAATTTCTCGATAAGAACAAAACCAGTTAGAAATGTTACTTTCTTGCTTCAGCACCCTCTAAGACAGACTACTAGAGTCTTGCGGTAAAATGATGTAGTTTGTGAAGAACAACGCTGAAACGAGTGTCTAAGTGTAGTTCACACATCAAACAACTTGACAGCCCCCCTAGCCCTCTAGGCTAACCATTAACCAAGAAGACACATAAAAACTTGGAGAGGCGGCGCCCGCACCGAGGCAGAGATAGACAGCGATCTATCAATACTTTTTACTGCCGTTTAATCGCAATTTATCCTCAGAGATAGACGAGAAGATAATAAGGTGAACTTACTCGTCACAGCTTTTTACTCTTTTTCGTAGTCCTCGTTCTCGGTGTCATCGTTTTTGTCCGGTTAGAAGAGAAAGAGACGAGAGAGATGGGCCCACAGCACTCGGGAGGCACACGGAAGAAAATCAAAATGGCCGACAGATACTTTTGGAAGTGTCGATAGCGAAAGGGCGCGATCGGGCAAGACGCTAGAGGCCCTCATTAGAATAATAAATCCTTTTATGGTGCTTTATAGGGGTATATTCTCCAGACAAAATTTTATAAATTGCTGTCGGTATAAAAAATTGCAAATATAAAAGCGATTTGCATTAGCTGAACAAACTGGTTTGTTTGAGATCTGCTCGGAGGTTTGTAACGGGCAGGCAAGAAAATTATAAAGCTTTTCTGCCTTGACATTGACTAGGTGTCTCAAAATAGGTGACCTATTTATGTCTGTTATTTTGCCGCTGGCTTTGTTATTGCTGTTGTTGTTGTTGTTACTGTTGTTGTTGTTTTTGTTGCTAGTGGTGGTGATAATGATGCATATTATATAGAATGTTAAAATTTTTGTTTCCAATATTATTACCAAGATGTTTAAATTGTAAACAACACGATAAGCGCACATATGGCGTATGATCCGAACATTGATATTACTCTCCCGACGTTATTTCTAAGGCTGTTTGTTACTTCCTTGAGGTAAGCCACAAGCCAACAGGTAAGTGATAAAGATAAAAACACAATTATAAAAGTAACAGAATATCTTCACAGACACATACAAGCCGCCCCCCCTGCAAAAAAACAACAACAAACAACAAAAACAGAAAACAAACAAACAAACAAACAAAACAACAACAACAAAACAAAAGAAACAACAACAACAAACAAACAAACAAAGACACAGAAACACACACATAGCGGCACACAGTCACACTCATAGGCGTTTGTAAAGCGCTAACGGAAAACATGTAGAAAAAACTGCAAACCAGAAACAATAGTACAAGCTTACTGTGAGTAGGACAATATCTAAAGTAATATTAATAGACCAAGCCAGTGTAAGGAACAGTTTTAGCTTCATCTATCCTTTTGTCTAAGGGCTAGCCTGCTTACAATCTCTCATCCTTCCTCCATTTTTCACCATGGTGTTCATAGAAAACCCATTTGGCGGGGCATGTCTATGTGTGTGCAAGTGGTCTGTATTTGTCTGTCTGCCTGTGATCTGTGGTTTGTGGTTTTCTTTTTCTTCCATCTCCCCTTCTTGGTTTGAGCTTTACATATTCAATTTCACCATCTTTATTAATGTTAGAGAATAATAATAATAATAA